CTAGCTACTGTCTATTTTTCTTTCCCTACTTCTTCACCTACCTTTCTTTCTCCCCCCCTTCCTTTACAGACACGGTCTGGAACTGATTTTCTTTTTTTGTTGTTTATGAAAAAAAAATTTAGTGGCCCGTTGTGTGTGTGTGTGTGTGTGTGTGTGTGTGTGTGTGTGTGTGTGTGTGTGTGTGTGTTCTTGCGCCCAGGAATCTAATTCCTGGTAATCTACTTCTAAAAAACATAAAGTGCCAGTACTTAAGATTTTATTATCTATGTATATTGTATTTTTCTGTTAAGGGCCAGAAAAGGGGAAAAAAAAAAAGAATGATCACCAATAAGGGAATGATTGAATAAATTGTGATAAAAGTATACCATGGCTGAATGGTTTTCCATAGACAGGAATGTGTAGGCACAAACTCTTCTAGGTCTAGTGAAAGAGAGTAAATATACCATTTTTTATAAAAGAAAGACCTAGATGTGTGTGTGTGTGTGTGTGTGATTTTATGGGCCTAGAGAATAGAATTCCTTCCATTGTACCCTCTGGAACTAACTCATCAGTCGCGTGAGTGAAGCTTCCAACAAGAAACTAAATTAGCCACATAACCTTGTGAAAGAAAATAGGAGGAAATGGGTAAGGGGACAAAGGATGGTGAGGCTTCCAGAGACAAGCAGCATCGAGAACCTGTTGTCTCTCTAGGAACAAAGGGAGGAAGCAGTGTTTCAGGAACTCCTGGAAAAGCCAAAGTTTTGAAAGAGGAACTGCTAAGTGATGGTGAAGCCCTTGGGGGACACAGCTCCTGAGGGAGAAACAACTGCAACAGGGAGGCGAGTGGAGCCTCCTGCAGGGCAGTGAATATCACATTTTGTTGACTGAACCCCACCAGAAGTGGAGTTGATATAGTCCTCCTGGGATAAAAGGGCAGAAGGGGTGTGGAGTAGATCTGGAGAGTATGCAGCACTGTCAGCAAGCCTCAACCTTGCCATAATAAGGCTTTCCCTAACAGTCACCTGCTTTTGTTCTTGTGTCCCTTATGCATTTAGGGTTAGGGTGGTTCCACAAAGCCCAATTTCAGAATATAAATTTTAGACTTCTTGCACAGATAGTATTTTAAGCCACAAAACTTGATGAAATTACCTAGAAAAAAAAGCACGGTAAAGTCTTGGTTTGTGAGCATATTATTTCCAGAAACATGCTTGTAATCCACAGCACTTGTACTTCGGTGCAAATTTCCTCATAAAAATAATGGAAACGTAGATAATTTGTTCCACAACCCAAATTTGTTCATATAAAATAATTACAATGCTATAATATAAAATAATACAAAATACAAAATATAAAGAAAAGTAAATTAACCTGAACTTACCTTTGAAAACCTTTGTAGCTGGTGTGAGGGAGATGAGAGAGGAGGGCTATTGTATAGGACAACTTTCACTATCACTCACAGAATCACTGCTAGCTGTTGGCTCAATGGAATCTTCCTTTTTGTGCAGTTTTAGCAAGGAACCTATCCAGTGACACTTGCTTTTGCCTCCTTTTGAGTATTTTGGAGAAATGTGATATTTCATTGTCATTAAACAGATTCATTGCTCACACTGCTACCACTTTATTCAGGTGATATTTTTCTACAAATTTTTGCAGTTTCTCACATTTTACATCTCCCTAATCTCATTTGAAGTGAGGGGTTCTTCCCCGTTTTTTCTCCTCCTCTTCCTGTGCAGACAACATCTCCATAACCTGTGGCTGTTGGGAGATGATCACCCACAATCCAGTGAGGGGGTCGCCACTGGCTCAATTGTCATCATGCATACTATGCACACTGCAACACTTTGCTCATTTATCAAGTAAAATTTATTAGAAATTTTTGCTTGTCTTGCAGAACATTTGCAGAGCAAGTTACTTGCAATCCAAGGTTTCACTGTATATAGAATTTCAATCATTCATTTAAATATTTAGGAGGACTGGGGAGGAACCAGCAGAGGAGACCAAGAAGGAGAAACCAGGAGAGGGTGGAACCCAAGTGAAAAGGGTGTGTGTAGCTTGACACAGTGATCACAGTATCTAATTCTGATACTTGGGTATGTGCTGACCATCCGTGAGGTCACTTTGATAACAGTTTCAAAGAAATGGTTGTATTATGGGCTGCAAGCAAACCTGTCCCTACTTTGTCTTCTGGAGAGCTGTCTGTCTTCTAGGGCTATTTATTATTCACACATCCTGAAAACGTAGCTTGGAACAAAGGCCATCAGTGCCTGTACTTTTAAGACAGGCAGATGCATAGTAAACCCCGAGAGAATTGTCTCCTAGCAGAAATAGATGGGTAGCCAAAGAGATGCAGGCTGAAGACCCAGATGGAGACCAGTACTGTTATCCTTGTTATCCCAGTACTTGGGAGGCTGGGGCAAGTGGATCACGAGTTCAAAGACAGCCTGGGCTAATAGCAACTCTCCATAAAATAAATCAGGATGTGGGCTCAGGAGGGTTTCATAAGATGTTAGAAATTGTAGAGTATGTTTATGAATCCATAGGAATGACCAATAGAGAACTTGACACTGTAGCAGGAAAGAGGAGACCAGCCTAGAGCAGTCTGAGCAGACAAGAAGAGATTGGATCCAGTGTGCTCGTGAAGAGTTCAAACATTGGAGAATCAACTAGGAAGAAGGCAGAGGTGATGTTGGAACTTGTGAATACTATGTCTTCATTGCTTTTATTTGCTTGTTAAACAGGAAAAAGGCCACCAGCTGAGCGTAAGGTTGGAGGAGATGGTGAAGGAACTAAGTATGGATGCACAATGACCCATGAGAGGCTAGTGTTATACGTTTAATGTATCAGTCATCAGGATTCTGTGTTTTTCTCCAGTCACATTCGGGAGTGTTGAATTTAGTCTGGTGTAAAATACACAGGAATGCATGATAAACTGAGATGTTAGATGGTTGAGAGAAGAGTCAGAACTTGGAGAGGAAAAATCAGAGGAAGGGACATCAGCAAGGTGGATGGAATAGAACTTTGAAGCACTCACCGCATCACCCCCTACCAGAAAATCAATTTAAACAACTCCTCTCCTGAAAATACCTTTCACAAGAGTTAAGCAAACCAGGTAAGAGATTACAGTGATTGGGTACAGTATAACCCAGAAGTAAGAAAAGGCATCGAAGGGGATAGATAGGAGTGGCAGTTTTACACTACAGCCCTCCCTCTACCCCATACCCCACGGTGTGGAGAGAGAGACCCTCCACTTAGGGGAAAGAAGGGAGTGAAGAGCAAACCAGTGAACCTTGGACCCCAACAATAGCCCATTCCTATGAAACTCACCACTGAGCAGGCCCCTACAGCACGAGACTGTAAGCCAGTACTCATGGACACATCCAGGCACGTCCAGGACCAAGCTGAACCGTGTAGCCCCAGGTGCCAACCTGCCTCATTGCCAGGCCAACTTTTTTGGTCCAAGGCTGCAAGTCCAACATAATGTCAAACCAGGCCCTACAAATTTGGGTTCTAGGCCCTTGCAGATACAAGCTGCGAGCCCACTCTGCTGAGAGCACTGTATTGTAGATCACTATGTCCAGGCCTAACTCGCTGCCTCCTGTGGCTGAGGCAGGGCCCTGTGTGAAATGAGCAATACTTATCTTTAAAAAAAAACCACAAAACCTTTTATTACAATATCCAGCTGCTTCTCTGTACTTGGCTCTCATCCATTTTACTGTGCTTTGTTAATTACAACAAATTAATTACCAAAAATGCATACTGCAATTTTAACAGTAGTGATTTCTAGAGTTAAGTTATAGGAGTCTTCCTTTTTAAAAAAACGATTAGATCAGAGATATTGCAAAAATGGTACTGAGCCCTTTTCCCACTCTCACAATAAGCCCCTCTGCTTTTTGCTTAGCTTTATCCCTCCCTCCCTCCTTTCCTTTCCATGCTTCATAATCAGTGTATTCTACTTTAATACAAAGGAAAAGAAACAAAGAGCAGTTTTTAGGTTGTAGTTTACAACCACAGGCAACATCTGTCATTGTTAACAGCCATGGGGGAGGAAGGGCCTGTGGTCCAGCTCTGTCCTTGCTGTCTTGCTCCATCTATGGGCTGGGGTGTCTGTGATCATTTTGGGGTAGCAGCGGTGGCATCTTCAGTTTTATTTACACTTAGTGGGGTCTGTCAAGTGCTGAGTCTAAGGCCATCTCTTTCTTCAGTGTGATTTGAAGCTCTCTGACCCCCTGTGCCCTTGACAGTGACATCTTGCTGCTGCTACTCAGACCTGTGTGCCAAGGTGCCACCTGCGTGGTGATCAATGCCTTTCACCAGGGCTGTTTTCCACCCCCTCAATAAGTTTGCTTCCAGCCTAGGGGCCAAACTGAAAGAGATGCTCCCTGAATAGTTTCTGTGTGATACAGTCAGCAAACACCTCTTCGTGGTCTCCCACGCGCTTGGGGATTCTGAA